AAGAGAAGTCGGCATAGTCTTGGTCTGATTCGCCGGGCAATTGTTGGGTGATGGGTGCTTTACCACGGGTAAACAAGGTCACCTGCAATTTGGAAAGGACACGGTCTCTATGAGTCTACAGACTCGCATGTAGAAATGGGGGTAGCTAATAATTTATTTTTGAAATAAAACTTAATCCTAATTATTTTAAAAAAATCTATAAAAATAAATTAGAAATGATATTTTTTTGAGAAAATATTTCAACCATTGATATTACTTTTCCTTTGGAGGACTATTATTTACGGGACCCGTTTTGGTGGACGGTTTAGATCTCCAAGCCCACATAGTATGCACCAAACAATTTTCCATTTAGAAATAAATAATCATTTCATATATTGTTTTAAAAATGGGTGTAGGTGAGGCCTTAAAACATCAATGTAAAGCACACCTTCAAATAGTATCGAAAGATGTTGTTTGTATTGAAAATCTTTGTGATGGCCTAAAAATTTATTTTTACCTCTAACTTAAAAGCCTAAAAGATAGTGTAGATTGAGCAAATCCATGAATACTTGAAAATTAATAGTCCAGAAAATGCATACAAGATGCATTATTTCCAACACGTAAAATCCATTTTTTCTCATTTCCATACATCTTGATGTTGAGACGATCGATTTGAGGATTTTTGGGTATCGAAACAACATCTTCTAAAGAATTTTTGAGGTACACTTTAATTTGATTGTCTAGGGCCCACCACACGTAAACTTTTTCCTTTAAAAATTGGTAAGTACAGATAAATGGGATTGTATACTATGAAACCATTCACTTTTGTTATAAGGAGGCCACAAATGCCTCTAGCCACAAATGCCTCTAGCCATCCGATATCAAATTGGACAACTTGGGGGTGTGTCACGAACTTTGAGAATTTTTCGTTTGGACTTTGAATCTAGTTAATAATACACTCACAACCACCTGATTTCAAATGTGACAGGGGAGTGTGACGTCCTTGTACCAAAAGTAAATAGTGTGGTTTGTATAAGGCTAAGGCCCCAAACAATCAAAGTAAGGCGTGCCTTCAAATGGTGTCAAAAGATGTTGTTTCAGTATTACAAATCTTTATAATGGTCTGAACATTTATTATCATCTCTAATTATAAAATTTAAAGCTTCAAAAATAGTATAGAATGAACAAATCTATGAACACTTGAAAATGTTGAAAATTAATGGTCCAAAAAATTCATACAAGATGCACTATTTCCAATAGTTGAAATGTATTTTCTTATGTCCATACATCTTGAGGTTGAGATGATCGATTTGAGGATTTTTGACATTGAAACAACATCTTCTATTGACTTTTTGAGGTACGCCTTAAATTGGATTCCGTAGGGCTTTTTTCAAAAGTAAATGGCCTCTTTGTATATTTTTCCTAAATAATTCCTCTTTTTAAAAAAGGTGCGGTTTGTATAGACCCGAGGCTCTAAATAATCAAGTAAAGCACACCTTCAATTAGTGTCGAGTCAATATTGGAAATCTTTGTGATAGTCTTAAGCTATATTTTCATATTTAATTATAAAATTTAAGCTTCAAAAATAGTGGACATCGAGTAGATCAATAGAAACTTGAAAATCTTGAAATTGACGATCCAAAAATGCGTTACAAGATGCACCATTTCTAAAACTTGAAATCAATCTTTTTCTTATGTCCATACATCTTGATGTCAAGATGATCAATTTGAGGATATTTGAGCATTAAAATAACGACTTCTAGTGAAATTTTTGAGGTGGGCTCTAATTTGGTTATTTAGAGCGTCGGCTCTATATAAACTTTTTCCTAGGGTAAAGTTTGTACAGAGTCGAGGCTCTAAACAATCAAAATAAAGCATACCTTCAAATAGTGTTGAGAAATGAGGTTTCATTACTGGAAATCTTTATGATAGCCTTAAAACATATTTTCATCTTAAATTATTAAAATTTAAAGCTTCAAACATAGTGTAGATCCAGCAAAACTATGAAATCTAGAAAATTGACCGTCCAAAAATATGTTACAAGATGTACTATTTTTTTAAAAAAATCCATTTTCTTCTCATCGGAGCTGGCTCAAAACTAGGAGGTACCAAGAAGGGTCCAAGACCTCCTAGTTTTCCTAATTCCCTCTTGTCTTTTTCTAATTATTCAATAGGAAAACAGCGTAGAAGCCGGTTGAGTAACATGAGAAAGAGAAAGAGGCGAAAGAGGCAAGGAGAGCGGAGTATGGGAAACAAACTCATACTTAATTTTCAAAATATGACCAAACTACCCTTATCTTTAACTCTTTTTGCTCCCTTGGGCACGTATACTTTACTCTCTCATTTACATTCGAAGACTTACTTGGCAGATTTTTTTAAGGAAAATTGTTTCATGCATTCGGAAAGTATAAAGCTCATATGAATGCAAGTAAATGTTTCATATAAAAACAATGGAAACCACCGGTCATATATGTCTTTAAAAATTAAGTCTTAAAATCCATCTGAAAAATAGATTTAATAAGTGGTATATAATTTTACATATGCCGGTTTGGCTGCATAGAAATTGGGTCTTTTTTTTTTTTTTTCAATTTGAAATCTTGAGAACCACCTAAGAATCACTGGATAATTATTATTCAAAAGAGAAAATTTAAAATTTTAATTTTCGGACACTTATATCTCACCTTCCAAAAATTGAATGGTAACACTTTTAAGATTTTTTTTTTTTTCTTAAAGTGCATAGAGGGTGCAATCAGAAAATTCTTTTTAAAAATTTGGGGTCCTAAAATGAGTGTTTCGTGAGATGTTACCCGAGACAATAAAGCTTCTTTATGATCCTTGGCGCATTTTCTAAAGAGACACTTGTTTATTCACTTCATCACTCCCCATTGGAATAGACAGAAATACAAAAGCTCAATCGATAATGGAAAATTAGAAAAAGACAAAAGTGGGCTTCTTGATATTACCTGATGGCCCTCTTTGATGAGCAGTCTACACAAGAAGACTCCAATGAATCGGGTGCCTCCCATTATCAGTATCTTCTTAGGACTTGCTGCGGAGGCTCTGATGCCGAAACTCCTCTTTCTCTTCATTATATCCTTCACAACATTTTACCTCAGAAGTTAGAGAGAGACTATAATTCTCACTTCAAAGGCCGATTAATTATTATTATTATTATTATTATTTGGGTAATTCAGTGGAGATAATAGAGCCCCACAATTTTTTTTTAACTCGTCAGTGGTTTTTTAATGTATTATGTGAGAATGGAAGCCTAAATCTGAACTGAGGTTTAAAAAGTGCTACCACTACGACCCCAAACCCATTCTCACCATGTTCGATTATTGAAATACAAAATAGACACAGTTTTTATGAGTCCATGTAGAAATCAATCCCCTACTAAAATCTATTCTTGAGATGGATTTTTTATTTAATTTTTAAGGACATGTAATCTCTAACATAGTGATCATTAATATGAAAAGTAAATAATTTTTAAAAATTAAAAATAAAAATTTTATAAAAAAAAAATATTTGAACCATTAGTTTCAACCAATGGTTTAAAAAACGGATCGGTGACCCGGATCGGGCTTCCAAAAAACCGATCCGGATCGATGAATCGGCGATCCGGATCGGGATTCGGGTGGATCGTTCAGAATAAAGCTTAAAAAAAATTCGAAAAAATTATTAAAATTCATTATAAATATTGTTTTTTAGGAATTTAATAAAAAATGAGGGTACTCCATTAAGAATTTTCATG